AGGAGTCCCGCAGGGCTCGGATCTCGACGCCATCATGTCCGTTGGACGCGCTTTTTTCAGGAAAGACGCATCTCTGACTCGTCCCGGGGTATGCAAAAGGGCACGGCCGCTAGATGGGTGCGTCGCGGCCGTTAAAAAATACCCCCGGATGGTACCGTTCTATATGTACCTGCCTGTATTTGCCGCCCGCTAAAAGCGTCTTACTCCCCCACCCTTTTTTGTGGGGGGGTTTTTGGTCAGCCGGCTTGAAGCGGACGCCGAAGCCGTGGAAGCGGATCGTGCGCACGTCGCTGGCCGCGACCCCTGGCCCTCTCGGGCGCCTGCGACCCCGTCGCCGGGCGCCCCGGCACCCCCCGCCCCTACGTTGGGCGCTGCGTCGAGTGTGACGACGGCGTCGGCGTACGGGCACGGCCTCGGGCCGGAACGTGTTCCGAGCGTCAACCTCGGCGGACCCGGTCCGCGCGAGCCGCTCCGGCGGCACGGAGCCGCTCTCCTAGGCGCCGACAGACCCTACGCGGGCGCTGAACGCGTCGGCTGCTCGCGGGAGCCCTGAAACGCGCGCGGCGGACGCCGTCGACGCTGCGCGCTCGGCCGACCGTGTCGGCGCGACGAGCGCGCTCGCCGTCGGCGCGCACGCGACGAGCTCGACCGTCTCGACGACGAACACCATCGTCGCGGAGGTCCCCGACCGCTACACGGACGTCGTCGCCGCGCCCACGGCCTCGCCTACCAGTTCGCGGAACGACGCTCTTTGACGACCTTCTCAAGCCCGGAGATCGACGACTAGTTCGCCGATTGCGAGCCGCTGGTCGGCTTCCGCACGTTTTTCATGATGCTCGAGCTCGCCGACGACGAGTTCGCCGCCGCCGCCGCCTCTGGGAGCTCGGCGCAAAAAGGGTGGGGGGTTTTGAGAGGGGGCGCCTCTTAGCCTAAGCCTATTAGAGACCTATTAAGCTATTTCAGCCTCACCTTTGGCGCCCCGCGCCACACAGTCGGCCCAAGGAATCGTCCGCTGCCCCGGCGCATGCATGCTCAGCCTCCTCGCCTTCGACGACGACGGCGCCGCCGGAGTAGCGTTCCGGAACTTACCCGTGGAGCTCGAGCGCGCTCGCGGCGTCGCCCGCGCGTCGAGCTCATGCGTCGAGCTTCGCCTCCGAAGACGCGCCGCGCGCGCGGCAGGCGGCGGCCGCGCCTTCCTGCGCTTCGTTGAGCGCGGCGACGAGCGCGTCGCGCTCCGGGTGCGGCGGCTCCGGCTTGGACGGCGCGTGGCCCGCGTTCGTCGCCGCCGCGAAGGTCGGCGCGTCGATTTCGAGGTACGCGCCGAGCCGCTCGTGGCCGCCCCGCGTCGCGTCGATGAGGTCCTCCTGGTCGTAGTGGTCGCAGAGGACCGTCGCCGGGAGGGCCAAAACCTGGGCCGCGATGAGGCGCGCGGCCTTTGAGAGGAGCTCGAGCTCCTTGGCGCACGCGCTCGGGCCCGGCCCCCCGAAGTGGCGGTGGTCGCAGACGGACGCGGCGATGGCCGCGGCGTCGCGCGTGAGGACGACGACGCGCAGCTGGCCGTGCGCCCCCAGGGCCGTCGCGAGGAACCCCATCTCGGGCATCTGCTCGGGCTTGCGGGGACCGCCGTAGTTCGGGTAGCTCTGCTCGCCTTTTTCGAATTTTTCGCAGTTTGGGTTTACTTTCTTTTGCAGCGAGGCCAAGCAGAGGATCGTCATGTTGCTTCGGCGATATTCTTCGACGAGGTCCGGCTTCCGCCCTGTTCCCATGGTATTGAGCACGCGGAGCGCTCGCGACCCGGTGGCGGCCTCGCGAGCGGCCGCGGCCGCGGCCGCGCGCACCGCGAATCGCGCGGCGTCCGGCTTTTTCTTGATCTGCGCGATCACCCACTGCCACTCGAAAACCCCGACGTCAGAGCTTTCACACTCTCCCGCCTTTTTGCATTTGCCGAAGAAACTCGTGAACCAGTGGTGGCCCGTCCCCTCGACGCCGGCGACGAAGACGTAGGGCGCCAAGGGATCCTTCTTGCTCGCGGCGACGAAGAGGGACGCGGTCACGGTAACGACGAGAGCGCGCAGCATGGTCGGGTCGCGTGGTGAGCCGGTCGCCACGCAGATGCCGAGCGCTCGCCAGTGAGAGTTGTGGCCGAGCGACGACTGTGGCCAAGGCGACGACTGTCGGCCTCGAGGCCGCGTGTGATGCGATGGTGGGCAGCCATGCTCTGGCTCGTCGACGACGGCGCCGCCGGAGAAGCGTTCCGGGACTTACCCGTCGAGCCCGAGCGCGCGCGCGGCGTCGCCCGCGCGTCGAGCTCATGTGTCGAGCTTCGCCTCCGAAGACGCCGCGCCGCGCGCGCGGCACGCGGCGGCCGCACCTTCCTGCGCTTCTTTGAGCGCGGCGACGAGCGCGTCGCGCTCCGGGTGCGGCGGCTCCTTTTTCTTTTTCGGCTTGTGGCCCGCGTTCGTCGCCGCCGCGAAGGTCGGCGCGTCGATTTCGAGGTAGGCGCCGAGCCGCGCGAGGCCGCCCCGCGTCGCGTCGGTGAGGTCCTCCTGGTCGTAGTGGTCGCAGAGGACCGTCGCCGGGAGGGCCGCGACCTGGGCCGCGATGAGGCGCGCGGCCTTTGACAGGAACTCCAGCTCCTTGGCGCAGCCGGCCGCGCCCGGACCCCCAAAGTCCTGCCCGAAGTTGCGGTGGTCGCAGACGGACGCGGCGATGGCCGCGGCGTCGCGCGTGAGGACGACGACGCGCAGCTGGCCGTGCGCCCCCAGGGCCGTCGCGAGGAACCCCATCTCGGGCATCTGCTCGGGTTTGTGGGGACCGCCGTAGTTCGGGTAGCTCTGCTCACCGTCCGCGAGGCTTTGGCAGTTTGGTCTTCCCCCTTTCCCTTGAAAATCGGCCGAGCAAATGATCGTGATGTGCTTCGGCGATATGG